ATTTTCAATGGATTATCTTATAGCGCAAATTTATTAGACTTCCACATAACAGGAATATGTCAAATTCGTTCAGTGTAGTCAGTAAAGGAACGGTATTACCAACCGGTGGAAACTAACAATTTTAATTTGGCTCACTACTTGACTAGCCTGTTGGTCCCAAGCAAATCGATTAACGTACCCCATTCTAGTCAAAATTCTAGTACTACACAATGTTTGTTTTGATTCGCTAAAAGTTTGACTGATAAACTGGGGGGTGCGTGTATTTTCCAATGTTTCGAGGGGTACATCGATTAGCTTGGGACCGAAGAGACTACCAGAGCTGAGCCAAAAAGTTGGGCACGTTTCTTCGGGACCTTCTGGTCTTAGAGTTACCTCTATATGATCTTACTCAATGCCCAGGAAGGTCGAGAAACTTTCCAACCAGAGAAATTCCTAGACCTCCTGGCCAGCATGGCCTTGCTTTGTAGTTGCGTCTTTACCGACTGAGCTAAGGGAGGGCCCATTTGACATGCCGATTACAGATATGCATTTACTTCAATACCCCTAGAGATCCTACTTGTCTAAAATAGAATGTATTGTATTTTATTGTTCATCGACAGTGAGCATGCGTAAGAGTGATCGATTTTCTTCCCCAAATTACTCTTTGGTTAATAAGTTGCTTGGATTAACATTTATCGGTGCGTTTACTGCTGCTTTTGATAGCCAATACAACCTGTTACAGCACCTGTCTTGGACACATTTAAGAAAATTGTTTCCCTTAGATCACAGAGAACAGACGTTGAGACTCGAACTATTTTTTTGTAAAAACTTGTGTAAAGATTGCTATTCGACTTAAGCGCCGCCAACGCCGACTTCCCTACTTAAAAACCCTCTTTGACAACATGATGGCGCTGGCGTTGCATAACTTACACTAGACACTAAGTGTCGGTAGCGCGGAGTGGTAATTTTCAACCGAAAATTTATCGATACTAGCGCCAAAATGGTCGAAAGTGGAAAATTTATAGAAGAAATCAGGAGATGCTAGCGCTACGTACCGGCGACGTTCCCACTTATCTTTACACAAGTTTCTGGTGAAAGTTGGACGTCTGTTCTCTGTGCTTAGCTGTAGCGTTTTAAAGAGAATATCGATTAAGAGAATCGCAGTTAGGCCCTTAAAATGCTCAATGTCGATTTAATTAAAAAAATTAAGGTTGTTTTTGTCTGGGTACTTACAGCAGTTAACCCAAAGAAGAATGCTGTTAACACTGTCGTATCAAAACATGATTCATAAATTTAACTTTAACATAAATTGAGACTCGAACAAAATTCCTCTAAAAACTTGTGTAAAGATTCCTATTCAACTTAAGCGCCACTAACGGCGAATTCCCCACTTAAAAACCCTCTTTGACAACATGATGGCGTTGGCGTTGCAAAACTTACACTAGACACTTAGTGCGGGTAGCGCCAAGTGGCAATTTTCAACAAATAATTTATCGATACTAGCGCCAAATTGGTCGAAAGTGATAAATTTATAGAGGAAACTTAACTTTACACAAGTTTCTGACCGAACTTGGACGTCTGTTCTCTGTGATATAAGTGAGGGGGTGTAATAAGCCTCCCTCCCTTCTCACCAACTGCGCATTGATTTTTTCAAATAATTCATCTGAACATATCAAATCGATAAGATAATCGATTCCGAGATTATTTCAGTTTGAAATTTGACTTTCATTAGTACACCGACAGTGTTAGCAAAGAAGAATAGTAAGATGAAACCAAAGAAGAATACTAAGATGAAACATTCGGAAGAAAAACTTTCTATTTTATAGCGAATTTGTTTATTATCGGGGTTGGAACCAGTTCCAACCCAGTGCAAAACCGAACTTTTTGTCAGTGCGAACCTTAACCTGAGGAAGGTTTTAAAAACAAACGATCAAATTGACGTTTGTCAGGAAGCAAGCAGAGTCGATCTTGATACCCGATCCAGGTTGGAACTGAATAATAAACAAATTCGCTATTAGCATAGAGGTAACTCTAAGACTAGTAGCAACAATCAATACGAAACTAACGATTTTAAATTGGCTCACCACTTTAGTAGCCTATTGGTCCCAAGCAAACGATTAACGTACCCTATTCTAGTTGAAATTCTATTACTACACTATGTTTGTTTTGATTCGCTATGAAAGTTTGACAGATAACATCAGGGGTGTGTGGATTCATGCAGAACATGCAGGGGTGAGTGAAATAGCTTGGGACTGCTTGGGACCGTTGTTCTGGTACTGAGTGAGCCAAAAATAATAATGATTTTCTTCGGGACCCAGTGGTCTTAGAGTTACCTCTATGCTAGTAGGTCCCGAAGAAACGTGCTCAACTTTTTGGCTCAGCTCTGGTACTATCTTCGGTCCCAAGCAAATCGATTCACCCCTCGAAACATAGGAAATTCCACTAACCCCTCATTTTATCTGTCAAACTTTCATAGCGAATCAAAACAAACATAGTGCAGTACTAGAATTTTGACTAGAATGGGGTACGTAATCGATTTGCTTGGGACCAATAGGCTAGTCAAGTAGTGAGCCAATTTAAAATCGTTATTGTTGCTATTAGTGTCCTCTTTCACAGTCCCTTTCATCCAACGAATGCAAGGTAATTTTGTGGTTATGCTGCCCCCTTGGTAGAGATGAAATTTTGCGCTCTTTTTTATCAAAACAATCACACCAAAATCAGAGATGTCCCATTTTTTCAATTACTCGATTAACAACTAATCGATTATTTTTTGTTCGCTGTGCTGTCATTTTTCCACCAATAAGAGTGCAGCACATGTTTGAAACGATCGGTGATGATCCTTTGGAGAAGTTAATGCTTATATCGGCATGACATAACCGATTACAAATATTTCACTTTTCGGTTCGTTTATCGATTAATCGATTATTCAAATGAAAATCGGCCATCACTAGATGAATGTGAAACGCCATTTCAAATAAAAGGACCGTACATAAATAATGATACAATTTGAAAAGGACCGAGGCTTATCACAAATTACGTCCCCACGGTAACTGAAACAAACACGAGTGTTCACCGGTTGAAGCTAGCCTCGGTGTTGGCATTTAATTCGAAACATCGATCTTTGAGCAGTTATCACTTTTTTTAGAGGCTGTGCTAAAACAGAGAACAGACGTCCAACTTCCACCAGAAACTTGTGTAAAAATTAATGGGAACGTCGCCGTTACACGGAGAACAAATTATAGCAGACGCAATTATTTTTCCGGTCAAAAAAACTATATTGTTCAATTGTTTTAGAGATAACCCGAAACTATAGTTGATTTGACTATATATAGAGGGCAACAACTATAGTCCATAGTTGGCTCCTCGGTTGGCTCAACTATATTTTTCAGTAGATGAACAAACGTCAAACTTCAAAATACAACAATGCTTTAGTTGATTCAAGAAAACTATTGATAGAAAAGCAAAATTTTACAATGTTTATTAAACGAACTGCTCTTCATTATCGACATATTAAATAAAGTCGATCTCAAAAACACAACTGCAAAATCATAAAAAAGTGAACAAGAACATTCAACTTAGATTTGAACCGTGTTCATCTGCGTGAGAGCCAGCTATCTTTTCGCCTGCTCTACGCATCACAAGTTAAAAGTATGTGGATTTATGATGATCACTTGAAACCAAATTATATGAATAAATTACATTTGACGGTTGTTATGATTGATAAAAGTTATAGTTGAATTGAGTATAAGATGAACAGTTGAATCTTTTAGGTAGATATGATTGAGTTGACGGTCAAATTAATGTTGGAATAACTATAGGTTTCTTTCAAACAACAATATTTTTCCATGTGAAAGTAACTATTAGGATTGTTATCTGAACTTAACGAATTTGTTCTCCATGTTAGGATTGTTATCTGAACTTAACGAATTTGTTCTCCATGTACTAAGAAGTGTAAAATTTAAGACTTATAAATTTTTAGTAACTTGACAATGCTTTCCTAGTTATTTTCGTTTGTAACTGTAGTATATGTATGTCGTCTGTATAATCTGTACTTTTTTTACAACACATCATTGGGACTATTTCTAGTCTGTTGATGCAACCATAACAAATAAACAAATACAATATAAAACGGTAACCGTAACACGGTTTTGTTCATATTTTTACAGGAATTCGGATCGTCAGTGCTTCAGTGCCCCCCGAGGTGCCTCCCTCTTACTCCTACTAGGGTAAATGCTCCTATAGTTGCGGTAGTACCAATAGTTGCGATACCGCATAAAAATCAATTAATTTGATTACCTAAAATTGAATTACTCTAACTTAATAATGAATAAAACATAAATCAAACATATTTACGTATGTTGCTACAATTACCGGATTACAAAAAAAAAACACACGTTATTTAAAAAATACTATTTTGATATGCCATAGCCAAACTGTTCACTAATGTATTCGCTACATTTTCTCACAACATTTTAAGCCATTATTATAAAACTATTCCACATATTTGCAAGAACTATGTCCATTCACATGATAAACTATCGTAGGAATTAAATAAAACCGTGAAATATGCACATTATTGATAATATTATCTAAAAATGTATGCCTCCACTATTGGAACACCAAATACTCTGCGTTCCTGTAGTTGTGTTATTTTCTGCGCCTCCGGCTGCAATGTAATAGAAAACAGGTCTCAACATCCAAATGTTTCATCACTTTCTTGCTCCCACTGTTCTAACGTAACGACGAGTTTGACGTCACACTCATCCTTACGTAAGAACAGCGGGAGAATGAAGGAGACGATTGATTAGCATTGCCGTACCTGTTCTTCATGATATTGCAGTGCAACGTTGAATAAGTGTCAAAGTTGCTCGTCACTTCTTCAGCGTTTGTTTACCTTCCATTCATTTGCGGTGCGTATCAATTATTATATTTTTGCAGTTCTGAGTTATCTAAGTTGTGAAAGTGAGTGATTTTATTGTAATTATTGTGTATAGGTACTGAAATATCTATATCTTTTCAGAATGGCATCTGATGAGAAGCGTGAACCGGAAAAGAAAAAAACGATCCGGAAGCGTCGGAAGTACGACGAGAACGCTGTGAGGCAATGCATTCTCAGCATTAAAAACGGGAAAGAAACTATTTACGGCGCTTCGCTATCTTTTGGCATTCCTGAATCCACCATCCGGTTCCGGCTCAGTGATAAATGGAGCAAGAAGACACGAAAAGGCCCTCAAACAGTGCTGTCGGAAGAGGAGGAGGCAAAGCTTGTGGACTGGATTAAAGACATGCAACGAAAAGGTTTTCCTGTCGTGAAAAATACATTGTATTCGAAAATCAAATCCTTCTTTGATTCTACCTCGCGGCCAAATCCCTTTCGGAATAATGCTCCCGGTAAGTTGTGTTGTATTCGTGATGTTGTTCCAGTTTAACAAGTATGTAATTGCAATTTAAGGTCGTAAATGGTTCAACAGTTTCCTCAAGAGACACAAAACCGTCACGTTGCGAACACCAGAAGCAGTTTCCGCAGCTAGCGCTAAGGTTTCCGAGTCCGACATTCGTGGCTGGTTTGCTCAAGTGACGTCATATCTGGAAGAACGAGGTCTTTTGGAAATCCTTCAGGATGGATCGAGGGTTTACAACGGTGACGAGACTTCTTTCTTCCTGCACCCCAAAACCAAAGCAGTGCTGGCTGCTCGTGGGAGCCACAATGTTTACGAAGTCGAACACGCCAGTAGTCACACGAACATAACCGTGATGTTCAGTTTTGGTGCGGACGGCTCTATTGTGCCACCTAATATCATCTTGCCAATGCAAAGAATTCGTGCAGACTTGTTGCGGACTTTTCCACCGGACTGGGGCATTGGAAAAAGCGCTAAGGGATGGATGGATGCCTCCAATTTTGAATTGTACGTTCGGAAGGTTTTTTATCCTTTTCTTTTGAAGAAAGGAGTAACTTTTCCGGTTATATATTTTGTTGACGGACATTCGTCACACATGGCAGCAGATGTGGCTGATTTGTGTCTTGATTTAGGAATAATACTTATAGTATTATATCCTAATTCCACAAGAATTACACAACCTGCTGATGTGGCAATTTTCAAACCATTAAAAAACGCTTGGAAGGCAGCAGTTTCCGAGTGGCAGGACAGGAACAACGGAGAAATGTTCACATTAAACCACTTCGCGGTGGTTCTCCAGGAGGCTATGAAGCGTGGAATCGTGGCAAACAGCATTATAAATGGATTCAAAGCTTGTGGACTACAGCCGTTTGATCCCGACAGCATTGACTACAGCAAGTGCATTGCAAAGTCCACTACGCCTGCACCTAATCCGAATGTATCTCAGGAGCTGAACCCTCCTAATGTAACATCCCCCGAGCACGAAGAATTACAAATTGTCGAGAATAACAGCACACTTTCTTCGTATATTATGGACTCATACGTCATTCTATTCAAGACCATTGAGCTCGCCTTGGAGGACATTGGAGAAAAACGTCTGAATAAGATAACGAGCTGCGAAGAACTGAGTGATGACGAGGTTGTTATCAGAAACCTTTACGAGAAACTCATTAAACCGTATCACTCCTCTCTATCATTCACCTTATCGGAAGCTAAGTCCTCAAATCACCTTTTCGAGTATGCTGATGTTAACCAATCTACTTCCACGCAGGAGCAAATCCAAGATCAGCCAGGTACTGTTTGATATATCTTTATTAAAATCTAATTGTGATATATTTTTGTTTACTATTTACAGTTGGTCTTCAAAATCCTCTTGAGAAATCATTTGAGGTTCAACAAAACGATTCTTTCCCATTCGAACCAGAACCAACTTCCAACAACGAGCTCTGGACCACAGCTCTGGAATTATGTACCGATAACTATATCTTAATTCGTTTAGTCCAGTTTAGTGCAATGTTCCAACGATTTACAAAGGGTTCCTTCAAATATTATATAACGCTAAATTGTAAATTGTTTACACCCCCCCCCTTCGTAACAAATTGTGTATGGGAAGCCTTAAATTTGTGTATGGACCGTAACATTTTGGCAGACCTCCTCCCCCTCCCTTAGAGTATTACGTAATATTTAAACATTCCCTTTAAGACATTGTTTAAGACAACGATTCTTATCCTGTGCTAGCATTAACACGGAATTAAACTTTTTGATCAATATCTGAAAGTACCATAATTTTAACACTTTATTATTTACCGCAACTATAGGAACACCCATGCGCAACTATAGGTACACTATCGCAACTATAGGAACAAAAACATCCAATATTTTATTGACAATTACATCCCCAAAATCTTTCAATAATCATGTTTTATGTTGAAAAATGATAAAAGAGTATCCATTTGAATAGAAAATGATAGAAAACATCAACAATATTCATTTCATTTTGTCAAAAAAACAAAATATATGACTTTGTTGTGCTTAGCTCCTCCACTATTGGGTCATTTACCCTACACAGCCTCGAACGCAGCTTATTCAAAGAAGGGGTTTTCGTTTTGTGCCTCGACTGTTTTTAGACTTAAAAATGCCACCTGGTTCATATGAACCGGTTCAAAAGAAGCAAAAAAAAACTTGTAAACAAAACACACGTGTGTGCGTATATGTTCACTTTCCGACCAATCAAAGCGAACTGTCAAAAGTTGTAAATAATCGTGCATGTTGTTTTCCATTCGTCTGGCACGCGTTGCACGTGCTGTGCTGTTGAAATCGTAATATTTTCGTGAAAATCTGTTATTGTGCCACCAAAAAATGGTAGCCACCGTCGATCACACAATGTCCGACGACGAATCCGATCGCGTGGATCCGATAGCCCATCAGAAACTGCTGGCCGGAATCAATAGCATCGTTCGGACGCAAGATGTCCAGAAGGTGTCCCGCACCGAGCCGATCAATAGGAAGTCGGAGTTCCACCTGGTCAAGGCGCAGTTCAGCGAGAATGACAGTGCCAAACCGAAAGCGGCAGTCAAGTTGGACGATCTGCTGGGAATTCTGAAGAAATCCGGTAAGAAAACGACCCTAGGGAAGGAGTTAGTTCAGGTTAAAGACAAGAAGAAAACATTACGAAAGCCGCTGGAGAAACCGGTGGCGGATCGAATTGAGCGGGATACTCTGTACGGGAAAACGCAGAAAAACTTGGATCTGTGGGAACCGGTGGTGACGGCAGGCGATGCTGCACCCCAAACGGTTTTTCCGTTGCAGTACGGAAAGGTTGATCTGGCAAATGAAGCACCGCAGAAGCTGTCTCAATACCGGGTCAAATCGGATCTAATGAAGGCGATGGAAGAGCTGGATAGCAAGTACCAGAAAGAGGAGGTGGAGGAAGTGGAGCAAGATCAGTACGCACTGACGCTGGAGGAGTTGAGGCAGAAGCGGAAGGAAGCTGCCCGGCAGAAGATGAGGGAGGCGTACAAGATTTCGAAAGGTAGAAGGATGAATAAGATCAAGAGCAAAAAGTTTCACAAACTGATGAAGCGAGAGAAGATTCGGAATCAGATCAAACAGTTTGAGGAGCTGCAGAAGACGGATCCGGAGGCGGCGTTGAAGCAGTTGGAGTTGATCGAGAAGCAGAGATATCAAGAGAGAGCCTCATTGAGACATAAGAATACCGGATCGTGGGCGAAGAATATGCAGATTAGGGCAAAGTACGACATGAATGTGAGGCAGGAAATTGAAGAACAGTTGTCGATAGGGAAGGAACTGATGGCGAAGCGGTTGGCAGAAGACGAGTCTTCCGAGTCTGGGGAGGAAGAAGTGGTGGAACCGGATGATGATGATGAGGATAACCCTTGGGTCAGGAAGAAGGGAGATCACGAGGAGGAAGGGAATCGAGAGTTTACCAGTGGCTATCGCAAGTACTGGGAGCAGAGAAATAAGGTGGAGGAGATTAAAAAACAAATTCAGGATGAGGAAATAGAAGTGCGGTCAGAGCACGACGAAAGAGAAGCAGAGGAAGGAGAGGATTCTGAAGACGAACGCCAGCTGGAAATGTTCAAGAAAAAGGTACTTTACAAAAGCAGGTTGCGGTTACATTTTTTTCTTAACTTGTTTGAATTTTGCACACTTTCAGGTCATAAAATCGAAGGCAATTTCAACTTCTGCTTGGGAAGAGGAAGACCAGTGCGTTTCCGAAGAGAAGCCATCGAAAAAGAAGAAGAAAAGTAATCGCCAGGAACTGAACCTAGAGGAAATTTTTGATGATGCCCAGGAACTTCTTCAGCAAAAGGTGCAGCAAAAACTGGCAAATGTTCAAAAATTGTCCGCAGCTCAGAAGATTGTATTAAGGCGCCCAAAAAATAGCCAGAACAAACGGAAAGCCGAGGATAAAGGCAAATCCAATCTAGCATTCAAAAAGAAGGTTACCCTTGCCGATGCAGACATTGCACTGGATGAGACTGCCGGAAATCAAAAAGACGACAGTAGAATTCCGCACATGGCGAAATTCTTCACAGAAGACAAGCTACAAGATTCCGCTACTGCTACATCATCGTCGGAAATCACCATCAATCCGAAGCAGTTCGTTCAGATGAAGCCGAAGCACATGTTGAATGCCATTCCGGATTTAACCACCGGTGGCGAATTGTCAGATGACGAAGATCCTGAGCACAGTCAAAAGCTCACCATAGCGGAAGCGTTCGAGGACGACGACATCGTTGCCGATTTCGAGCGGGAAAAGCAAGACGAACGCGATCGAACCAAACCCAAAGAGTTGGTCCTTTTCCTGCCGGGTTGGGGTTCATGGGGCGGTTCCGGAATCAACGAGCGAAAAGCGCAGAAAACTCGCCGGAAGATGTTCAAGGCACCGCCGGTGTTCCCGCGGCGGGACGACAACCAGGACCGGGTCATCCTCAACGAGGACGCTGTGAGCAAGAAGCTTACCTCGCATTTGGTCAACGAACTGCCGTTCCCGTTTGTGAGCGTGAAGGATTACGAAGCCTCGATGAGGGCACCCCTGGGTAGGACGTTCCTTCCGGAAACGGCCCATTTGACGTTGGTTGAGCCGCGGGTGGTGACCAAGATGGGAGCCATTATCGAACCGATGAAGAAGGACATTTTGCTGCAGGACGTGAATAAGAGCTTCCAAGTTGGAGGCAAGCAGTACAACAAAGCCGTGAAGAAGTACGAGGAATTCCTGGAGCAGAATGAGCTGAGCCAACAGGAGCAAAAGTAGTGCCTGTGTTGTTGAAAGTCTATTTTCATTTACGTTTTATTATGATACATGGAGTAATAAAGTTCTTAAAAAATAATTAACTTAGGTATGTACAATGTCATTGCACAGAAGCTTGCCTTGAAGTAGGTACCAAGCTGCTCCTTCAGCAAGAAGCATGCATTTTAATTTTTAATTTTTCCAAATGGAGGCGCATTGTGGCTTGTAGCACAGTAGTGGAACTTCGGATCAGAAAGTGGCTCCACTTGTCATTTGCGAACACTAGCGCACCTAGCGGTAGAAGGCATCTTCTGCCTGCAGTTAGGATAGGCAGCATGCTATGATAGTGTGAGTGCACGTAGAAAGCCCGTGTGGAATGCTACCACAACACATCGCTTGTTGAGCAGAAAAACGAACCACTTTTTGATTCACCGATTTGTTTGCACTTCTCTTTCTGTTCTGTGCTTGTAGCATGAATGAATTCAGCGATCACAGAAGGCTGTGTAGTTGACTGACCTAAAAAGCAATTTAGTAAAAGCACCGACAAACCGACATGACACTTAATTCTGACTTATGCCCGAAAATCATAAACGACCGATTTAAATGTGCAGTGATCCGAACTGTCAAAACCATAGGATTTTTTGATCTAGATCAAAATAATTTGTCCAGATTAGATCAGACACGAACCAATTCATAACTTGTGCATGCGGGTTTATGGCTTAGCTAAATATTTCCCGCGAACACGGAGCCACATGTCAGTAGCAACAATCAATACGAAACTAACGATTTTAAATTGGCTCACTACTTGAATAGCCTATTGGTCCCAAGCAAACGATTAACGTATCCCATTCTAGTCGAAATTCTAGTACTACGCAATGTTTGTTTTGATTCGCTATGAAAGTTTGACAGATAAAATGAGGGGTTATTGGTTTTTCCTATGTTTCGAGGGGTGAATCGATTAGCTTGGGACCGAAGATAGTACCAGAGCTGAGCCAAAAAGTTGAGCACGTTTCTTCGGGACCTACTAGTCTTAGAGTTACCTCTATGTCAGTAGTGTGCTTTGGTTAGAAAATTTATTGTTTTTGCTATGGTCATTCATGTCGGTTTGTCGGTGGTAAAAGTATGGACGACTGTCACCACAAAACTGAAAAAAAAGTTGTCCCAATCGAGCAAAGCAGTGCATTTTGACTTTCACTCTTAGAAATTATCGCCGGCGTCGGTAATTTTTACCGAAATCTGAACAGCTGAACTGTTCGGTAAAATTTATGCAATATCAATACGAAACTAACGATTTTAAATTGGCTCACCACTTTAGTAGCCTATTGGTCCCAAGCAAACGATTAACGTCCCAACAAACAATTTTAGCTGCAGACTAGCTTATACAGGCAAATATTAGCTGTATAAGCCAATTTTTGGCTGTATAAGCTAATCTGCAGCTAAAATTGTTAGTTGGGGTACCCTATTCTAGTTGAAATTCTATTACTACACTATGTTTTTCTCCCTTTTTATGGCACAGACACTATGTTTGTTTTGATTCGCTATGAAAGTTTGACAGATAACATCAGGGGTGTGTGGATTCATGCAGAACATGCAGGGGTGAGTGAAATAGCTTGGGACTGCTTGGGACCGTTGTTCTGGTACTGAGTGAGCCAAAAATAATAATGATTTTCTTCGGGACCCAGTGGTCTTAGAGTTACCTCTATGGTAATACCAAGTTACCTCTATGGTAATACCATAGAGGTAACTCTAAGACCACTGGGTCCCGAAGAAAATCATTATTATTTTTGGCTCACTCAGTACCAGAACAACGGTCCCAAGCAGTCCCAAGCTATTTCACTCACCCCTGCATGTTCTCCATGAATCCACACACCCCTGATGTTATCTGTCATACTTTCATAGCGAATCAAAACAAACATAGTGTAGTAATATAATTTCAACTAGAATAGGGTACGTTAATCGTTTGCTTGGGACCAATAGGCTACTAAAGTGGTGAGCCAATTTAAAATCGTTAGTTTCGTATTGATTGTTGGTAATACCAACCGGTGGAAACTAACAATTTTAAATTGGCTCACTATTTGACTAGTCTATTGGTCCCAAGTAAATCGATTAACGCATCCCATTCTAGTCGAAATTCTAGTACTACACTATGTTTGTTTTGATTCGCTGTGAAAGTTTGACAGATAAAATTAGGGGTTCGTGGATTTTCCTATGTTTCGAGGGGTGCATCGATTAGCTTGGGACCGAAGATAGTACCAGAGCTGAGCCAAAAAGTTGAGCTCGTTTCTTCGGGACCTTCTGGTCTTAGAGTTACCTCTATGGTAATACCAGGGGGTGGAAACTAACGATTTTAAATTGATTCACTGCTTGAGTAGCCTATTGGTCCCAAGTACTTCTATCATAGAGGTAACTCTAAGACCACTGGGTCCCGAAGAAAATCATTATTATTTTTGGCTCACTCAGTACCAGAACAACGGTCCCAAGCAGTCCCAAGCTATTTCACTTACCCCTGCATGTTCTGCATGAATCCACACACCCCTGATGTTATCTGTCAAACTTTCATAGCGAATCAAAACAAACATAGTGTAGTAATAGAATTTCAACTAGAATAGGGTACGTTAATCGTTTGCTTGGGACCAATAGGCTACTAAAGTGGTGAGCCAATTTAAAATCGTTAGTTTTTTTGTTGCTTCTATGGCGTACCCCATTCTAGTTGAAATTCTATTACTACACTATGTTTGTTTTGATTCGCTATGAAAGTTTGACAGATAACATCAGGGGTGTGTGGATTCATGCAGAACATGCAGGGGTGAGTGAAATAGCTTGGGACTGCTTGGGACCGTTGTTCTGGTACTGAGTGAGCCAAAAATAATAATGATTTTCTTCGGGACCCAGTGGTCTTAGAGTTACCTCTATGGTAATACCATAGAGGTAACTCTAAGACAAGTAGGTCCCGAAGAAACGTGCTCAACTTTTTGGCTCAGCTCTGGTACTATCTTCGGTTCCAAGTTAATCGATACACCCCTCGAAACATAGGAAAATCCACGAACCTCTCATTTTATCTGTCAAACCTTCATAGCGAATCAAAACAAACATAGTGTAGTACTAGAATTTCGACTATAATGGGGTACGTTAATCGATTTGCTTGGGACCAATGTTGAGCCAATTTAAAATCGTTAGTTTCCACCTGAGTACTGCGAACTAACTCAAAATGCTTGTAATCTGGGAGCCAAGTCGAACTGTCAAACGGGAGCCAAACATTCAAAAGAGCTCAGAAGTCATGTAGGTAGTTACTGTTTGAACCACAAGTAAAGGTATTGCCAGCTACTGAAAACAAATTAATAATTATAATTATGAAACTGTCGAAACATCAACCTTAGTAGGCGGATAATGTAAATCATCGAACGTGATGCTCGAATAAAAGTGTTTTTATTTGATATTTATAATAATGCCAAAACTGGGTTACAAATTGCTGAAACAAGAATTTAATCAAACTTTATAAGAGTCATGTGAGCTTTGTGGCAGGTGCACTCCCAACACCATGAATACGTTATTTGTGGAGCAGAGAAGAAGGAGCCAAGAGTTCATTTGACAGCATGTATATACGATTTTGTGAGCTGTTTCAGCAAAACAATTTGAAGCTTCGAAAGATTTTCAAGATGTTTTCTTGCTCACTTGAAAAATAAAATCGACAGAGTTCGCAATACCCAGGTTTCCACCGGTTGATGGTACCCCGTTTGACGTACCGCAGCTCGGCACGAAGTTTTACTGAAAATGCTTGCGTTTGATTTCTTGTTATTGCAGTTTGAAGGGAAATAAGACAATATCAACCATTTCCTGTCACCATTCAATCCTTCAGAAATTAAAAAAAAAAAGATAACGTGCATATGCTTAATACATAGCCGATAGCGACTTCAAAAACACCCCGGCACCCTAACCCCCTCATATCCTACGTCATGTGTGCATGTTTACTTACCCTAGTCTGGTTCGAATTATCCTGTGCTATTCAATGATACGAAAATAGCACAGGTCATCCGTCGTTTGTCTGCCGTCTTCACGTGGGAGTTTTTTTCTTCAGAAAGCAACAGCAGTAATTGATCCTCCCCAATGATTCTCCTGACTGATGCTATTGTCGGGGACACACACAAAGAAATTCGTAGATACGGACGTAATGCTTCGGAACACGTTAAATAGTTATAAGAAGCTCAGTCAACTAAACGAAAGCATATTCCGTGCCAAACTTTTGCTACCACGTGAAGAGCCAATCATGCAAAGCATGAAGATAATAAATAATGTTCTTAAGTTGATACTCTAAGGAAGCCTTAGCGTGAAACTTCTAAAGCACAAATGTCAGCTTCCACAAAACATACAAATTTGAAATTGCTACTCTTTGTTTGTAGTAGCATAGCAAACAAGGAGTAGCAATTTCAAATTTGTATGTTTTGTGGAAGCTGACATTTGTGCCTTTAAAGTTTCACGCTAAGGCTTCCTTAGAGTATCACCTTAAAGGTCTGATACAGTCACAAGAATTGATACCAAGTTGGTAAAAGTTTCCATTGGCGATTCCTGCGCATCAAGGAGCAACCCGCATAAACGCGAACCATAAATTGACCTTACCAAAAATGGTTAAAAATTGTTTATCATCCCTGCTAAACTTCAACTGAAATTGTTATGGAACTTTAGAAGAACGTTTAATGATAAAGTTTTAACCTTATGTATTATGGTTTTTTGGAAGCGGACCTTACAAATAATGAGTTGTTAAGAACCATTACCATTCAAAATTCTTGTTTCCTCCATATATTTTCGGGAGGAGGACTATATTAGAACCTTTTAACTTATGGTTTGAGAACATTAATGGTTATGGTTATGGTAGTCAGTAAGGTCCATGAATAGTTTTGTAACATCGATCAACTTTATGTGGAATATATCGCGAATTGGTTGCCTGTAAATTACTGATTACCAATTCACGATATATTCCACGTAAATTTGAGCGATAATACAAAACCATTAATGGACCTTACTGACTATCATAACCATAACCATTAATGTTCTCAAACCATAAGTAAAAACGTTCTAATATAGTTCTCTTTTCGAAAATGTATGGAGAAAACAAGAATTTTGAATGGTAATGGTTTCTAACAACCCATTATTTGTGAGGTCCGCTTTCAAAAAACAATAATACATAAGGTTAAAACTTTATCACACAAACGTTCATGTAAAGTTCCATAATCATTTCAGTTAAAGTTTAGGAGGGATTATAAACAATTTATAATTACTATCGGTAAGGTCAAGTTATGGTTCGCGTTTATGCGGGAGGTTTCCTAGCACATTATTGCGTGTCAAGTTTAACCGTCTTCCCACACGTGATATGCTGAGTTTATGCAAGACATGTTTGTGTTATTTTTATCCACCGACATTTCTCTAGAGGCACACGCACAAGAGTGCTTTCTGTCAAAAAAGGCATAATTATTGCACTGTCTTGCTTGTGGCGACATCTGACGGAAATTACAAATAAACTGCTTTCCGTTAGTTGTTAACAGAGGACTTTGCAGTCAACAATCCTAGAAATTCCCTACTTAACCTAGTTGCTTAACCTAATGTTGTCGAAACCTGAGCCTGTGTTTGGAAGTTTTGTTATAATACAATAGTTCATCAGCCATGATCTCGGATTCCTCGGGAAAGATGTTAGGAACATGGTGGAGATTGGTTACAATTTGAGCAACCTCAGCTTCGTGAGGGCTTGTGATGTTTTGTCCGTGATTGTGGGAGCTGACGAAATGTTGACCTATCGCGACAGCCTTCTCTCCCTTCAGGTGTTATCAGGTGAATCAATGAACCGTCGGGACAATTCAGTGGAACCAGCGGTGCAATTGGCCTCGGTTTAGGTTTTGAGGACTTTTGTTACTTTCCAAGCAAATCGATTAACGTACCCCATTCTAGTCGAAATTCTAGTACTACACACGGACAGAAAATTGTTTGCATTGAACCAAAAAAAAACTTTATTTGTATTTAAACAAACAATTCCGGTTGAAATTATATTGCATTTTATTGTTTCGATAATATTCATTCAAATAAATTCAAAATAAGATTCTTTTTGTTTTCATAAGCCACTCTTCAACTGCAACTATTGTAAAAATAACAATATTCTTTTATGGATGCGAACCAGCCCAAGGCTGAAAGCCTCCCTAATAAAGATAAATAATAATAATATTCTTTTATCAAGCCAACAATAGTTAATTTTAATTTAACATTTTGTTTCTGCAAATGTCTAGTATAAGAATTTAATTCGTTTGTCTTTTGTATCTCTTTATTAGTTTTTGTTTGTCTTGTCCCCCGTCTCGATGAGCCTCATCGTCGCCCACTGGTCACCATAGCCGGTCGAACTCCAGACGAATCTAGAACCACACTACCGTTCACACTGGCGACAACGCTCTGATGAGGCAACGATACCCTACTCCCAAGCTCCCCCCCCCTTTTCCTATCCTTCGACAATGTACCCCTCTAACCTCGATTAAGCCGCGAGTATCCGGCCCAACTCCTACTAGACATAGAATTAAGTGAATTTTGTTACAAACAAAGAACAATGAATTATCGGCTCCGTAAAGCTAACGCGATTGAGCCTTACAAATAAACGAACTAGATAAAAAAAAAATTAACATTTATTTGTTGTGTCTATTCCCCGGGCCATGAATGCAAAAATAACTACCAACCATTCCCTCGTGAAAACCCGGAAAAAAAATGTAAACAATAACAAAACATTTCTCGTTTGATTCAGCTCTAGAGGTAAGTAAGTATGCTGCAGTTGCAAAATATAAACAGTTTTTCTTTTTTTCCTTGATTTTTTCCGTCGATCTTATTTTCAGTACTGAGTACCAATGCTCCCGACGCCAGGAAGGCCGCTCCCATACCTGGACCCTACCTATCGACCCATCAACTCATGAACCAGAGAGATTTTATGCCTCAGAAAAAGTTTTATTTTTATTCAATTGTAATTCTGTTGGTAACAAATCGAAAACAAAACATAAAAATAATCGCAAATTATTAAAAATTGAATCAAAAAACATATTTTTATTTCTACTGCGTATAATTTTAGGCTTAATAAAATAAATATGGTTGAATCAACAAGAAATCTCTTTTAAAAACAAACATATTTGTTGGTTACGCCCGCTCCAGATGTGTGTACTCCCACCGCTGATCTACGCCACTGACGAGTGAGTGCAACCACACCCATCGCTATACGAGGGATTGTCACGCGGTGAGAGGAAAAAGTGGTCAGGATGTAAACAAATCAAACTATGGAAAGAAGACAAAACAAAAGTGAAATTGCCCTGCCAATTGCGAAAATTAAAACTACTTATATATATACTTATTATATACACTAAATCTACTGCTTAAACCTAGTGAACTAAACCTAGTGAACTAAACCTAGTGAACTTGAGTGCTAAATATTAGTTGCAAATTATTGATTCTTAATCTAGAGGTGAGAATATGAAATAGTATGACAGGAAGATTCTTAACCTATTATGTGCTATTATTAAGGTATCGATGAACCACTAGAACTTCTACTTGCCTTCTGAATAAGTTATATGTGGCCCGGAAAAAGGTGAGGTAAAAAGAATTTAAACCTAAAACATGATCCTAAACACAAACATCTAACTAGGTACCTACGGCTAAACGATTACTTATAACTACCAGCAAATTCGGCTGCTCTGTTACCGTTGATAGGTGAGACTTTATATCTAGAGCCAAGGCACACATTAGTAAACTAAACTTAAACCTACAGATTTCCTAAACCTACGAGAGTTGTTGGATCTCTCAAGCGATTATATTGCCATACAGCGAGAATCACTAAATGTAAGCATTACATGAAAATTATCCTAAATTAGCCTAACTTAACTGAGTATTCCACAGGAATTTTATAACTTTCATTCGCTGAAATACATTGGTTGGTGAATAAAGTTTATAGAATTTGATTCATTTCGGCTGTTACCAACATTTTATAAAATTCATTTATAATATCGATCCCGAGATGTCGAAGAAATCCACCGAATCTGAACGGGTAATCACCGTAGTACCGACGGCGGACGATGTAGCAGCAGGTATCGCTAGTGGCGTAGCAGTGGTAGCCACGACCGTCCTCGATGGTGTAGTATCCCTTCCCAGTAAAACGCAGGTAACCTCTAGCCTAGTTAATGCTCAATCGGTACATCCATCTCGTAGTACCGGAGCGAATCAAAAAACGCAGAAGTTCGATGCTGCCGGTAAAATGCCAATGTCAATTCCGACCGTGTCCGACGCGAGACGAAATCCGATGCGCGTTGTTCGAAGGAAACAAGGTTTCCATTGTCACTTGTGTAGTGAGCGTGATAGTGATCATATGGTGCAGTGTGATGGTGATGGTTGCAAGCAGTGGTTCCACTACGAATGTGTGGAAGTTACGGATGACATCGCGAACGTTAGTTGGATCTGTCCCCTATGCAATACCGCAAAGGATTCAACACCAACAGCGATTAATCCCCCCACCAGTACCACCACAAACCAGATGGTTTCCAACACGTCGAATGAGCAGCAGCAATGGCCAGTCGAGACAAAAAATGATACTGGTGCAATTCGAACGAAGAGTAAGGCAAGTTCAGCTAGGAGTGAAGCAAGAAGGATAAGGGAGTTAGAGTTGCAAAAGCTCAATGAACAGTTCGAGCTGGAGAAGAAGTTTCTGGAGAGAAGGTTCGAGATCCTGAAGGATTACGGTAGCGAAACGTCAACGATCGCCAGCGACTTGGAAAGGATGTCGAAGATCCAGGAATGGGTAGATGAAACCGAACGCCATGGTGTGGAGAACGATTCCGGTTTAGTAGAAGAGGAGATTAACGGTCATGCATCGAACATCTCGAGGAGGCCACAGGAAAACCAAATTCCGATTCTCGCTCAGCACAATTACCAACCATCGATTCGTCCGGACCAACCAGGTCAGCCATTGCAGCGTACATATACACATCATCCCAATTCCACCGTATTTCGGTCATCAAACATCCCTTCGATGAATCCAGGCACATTGGCAGACGGCAACGAGTTTTTTCCTGGACAGCGTTCAACTCCAGTTCGTCGACCACCTCCTGCAGCGCAACCTGCGGTGACCTTCAACGACGAGACGGTGTGTATCCTGAATCGAAGTCAACTCGCGGCACGCCAAGCAGTTTCCAAGGATTTACCAGAGTTCAACGGAAGTTCAGAAGACTGGCCACTTTTCTTTTCTATATTCAACTCCTCGACCCAAATGTGTGGGTTCTCAAACGAAGAGAACATGCTTCGATTGCGAAAGTGCTTGAAGGGAAAGGCACTGGAGGCAGTGAGGTGTCGACTGCTCCATCCATCAAACGTAGTAGGAGTGATGTCGACGTTGAAAATGCTCTACGGAAGACCGGAGGCCATTGTTCACGCAATAATCCGAAAGGTTCGTGCACTACCACTACCAAACATGGAGAAGCTGGAGACAGTCGTAAACTTCGCGCTTATGGTGGAGAATCTTGTCGCCACGATCCAGGTGTGTGAAGTTAGCGATTTCGTGTATAACTCATCGCTAAGGTACGAGCTAGTGGAGAGGCTTCCGTCAACTCTCAAGATGGACTGGGCCAAATACTCTCGTGGAAGGCCGAATCCAACCTTAATCGATTTCAGTGCGTGGCTGTACACGACGGCGGAGGATGCCAGTGCAGTTATGATCAGCAACAGTAGCAGCGAGAAGCGAGGTCGAGAAAACAAAAAGGATGGCTTTCTGAATTTCCATTCCGAGTCGGAATCCACGAGAGCAGATCTTGCCGAACCATCGACCAAGACGAAACCTTCCGGTGCTGCATCCAAGGAGCAGTGTGCAGTGTGCAAAGGAACGTGTCCGTCCGTAGCGAAGTGCAAGAGGTTCGAGGAGTTCAGCTACGATTCCAAGTGGGCAACCGTGAAGGAGTGTAAGCTATGCCGGAAATGCCTGCGAAAGCATAACGGATCATGTAAGCAGTCCAAACCGTGTGGAAAGAACGGATGCGAGTTTCTTCATCATCCTCTGCTTCATAACACGCAGAAACACGAAGCTCCGAGATCGCCAACGCCGATGGCAGCAACACCCAACAGCACCCAACCAGAGACGAGAAGGACGGATCATAGCTGCAACGTTCACCAAGGTCAATCGGAGATCTTGTTTAGAATCGTTCCGGTTATGCTGTATGGGCCAACGAAGACGATACGCACCTACGCGTTTGTAGATGATGGGTCTGAGCTCACACTAATAGAACAGAGCCTGTCCGATGAGTTGGGTGTGCAGGGACCGACGAAATCCCTGTGCTTGAAGTGGACCGGCGGAACGCAGAAGATGGAGAACCAGTCGCAGCAGATCAACCTGCAAATTTCCGGCGTGTACAGTTCGAAGAAGTACGAGCTGTCAGGTGTCTACACGATGTCCTCTCTGCAAATTCGTCCGCAAACGTTGCTGCTTGCGGAGATCCAGAGGAAGTACCCGTATTTGGCAGGGTTGCCACTCGAGTCGTACCACAACGTCAGTCCTCGTATTCTCATCGGTCTGGACCACGCTAGACTTGGCCATGCCATCAAGAGTCGGGAAGGTAAGGACCACGAGCCCATAGCAGTGAAGACGCGCCTAGGGTGGATGGTCTTTGGAAATTGTGCCGGCAAGGAGGAAGCTACGCGGTATGTGAACTACCATAGCGTGCAAACGTGCGAGTGCAACCGAGATCCGGACGAGGACCTACATAAAATTGTGAAATCTCATTTCTCGCTCGACAGCCTTGGAGTCGTAAAACCGGACAAGTTGCTAGTCTCGCATCAGGATCAACGGGCACAAATGCTTCTAGAAACTCTCACTCGTCGTACAGCTGATCGTTACGAATCCGGCCTCCTTTGGAAGTACGATAATGTCCGACTTCCGGACAGTCAACCAATGGCGCTGAAGCGGTGGAGATGCTTGGATAATCGTATGACGAAAGATCCCGTGCTAGCCGAGGCGCTGAAGGCGAAGATCGACGACCACGTAAGGAAAGGCTACGTAAGGAAGTTGACAGTGGAAGAGCTGCAAACACCACGATCCCAAGTGTGGTACCTCCCAATTTTCCCGGTCGTTAACCCGAATAAGCCGAGCAAGATGAGACTTGTGTGGGATGCAGCAGCCACCGTCCATGGAGTATCGCTCAATTCTGTCCTGCTCAAGGGCCCTGACCAGCTGACGTCTCTTCTTTCCGTGCTGGTACAATTCCGAGAGTTTCGGGTGGCAGTTTCTGGTGACATTCGTGAGATGTTTCACCAGGTGAAGATGCGAGAAAATGACCAGCATTGCCTACGTTTCTTCTGGAAGGACGACGACCAAGCGACGGAGCCGAGTGTCTACGTAGTGCAGGTGATGACTTTCGGTGCTTGTTGCTCACCAAGTACTGCACAATATGTGAAAAATAGTAACGCTATGCAGTTCGAGCGGGATCATCCGGAAGCTGTCAATGCAATTGTCAAACGGCACTATGTGGATGATATGCTTGTGAGCGTGGAGTCCGCAGAGGAAGCAATTCAGCTTGTACAGGACGTGAAAAGGATTCACGCATCGGCCGGTTTTGAGATGCGGAACTGGATATCGAACTCGCGTAGCGTCTTGGCGGCGGTGAGTGAGGAAACGACGAAGGAGAAAAACCTCGACATCGGCGAAGAAAGCATCACCGAGAAAGTTCTTGGCATGTGGTGGGATACCTCAAAGGACTGCTTCACCTACAAGGTCTCCGCGCGATACGATGAGGAGCTCATATCAGGAAACCGTCGGCCAACCAAAAGGGAAGTTCTACGCACTCTAATGATGGTATTCGATCCATTGGGACTCATCGCGCACGTGTTAATGTTCTTGAAGACGTTGCTCCAGGAGATCTGGCGAACGCCGGTTGGTTGGGATGACCCGATCGAGGATTCGCAGCACGACAAGTGGTTGGCATGGTTAGCGATCTTTCCGCAGATAGCAAACGTTGAAATACCACGCTGCTATCGAGTGCAAACACCTGGTGGATCAAGTACCGTAGTGCAAATGCATACATTTGTTGATGCAAGCGAGAACGGGTTTGCTGCGACGGTGTACCTACGATTCGACAACGGCGATACCGTCGAATGCGCACTAGTTGGTGCCAAAACAAGAGTTGCGCCGCTCAAGTTTCTGTCGATTCCTCGTTCCGAACTGCAAGCGGCAATCATCGGTGTGCGTTTTGCGGATACCATTTCGAAATCACTCTCTATCAACGTCAGCCAGCGAACGTTCTGGACAGACTCCAAGGATGTACTCTGTTGGCTGCGTTCAGATCACAGGCGGTACAGCCAGTTCGTGGCATTCCGTGTCAGCGAAATCCTCGAGACTACGGATATCATCGAGTGGCGATGGGTGCCGACGAAACACAACGTTGCTGACGAAGGAACGAAATGGAAAAGAGCCCCCAACTTGTCAAGTGACAGCCACTGGTTCCGTGGACCGGAGTTCCTTCTCCTCAAAGAAGAAGATTGGCCTGTGAATCCGTTTCCTGGAAGAACTACCGAGGAGGATTTACGACCGCATCTGCTTCTGCACACTCAATCTAGTGATCCAGCAATTCATCCACCGGATTTCTCGAGGTGGACCGACCTGCTACGCGTAACGGCCTACGTACTGCGTTATATCAACAACCTGAAACGTTGCTGCTACGGCCGACCGCGAGTGTCGGGACCGCTGAAAAGACAGGACTTTATCGATGCAGAAAATCATCTGTTTCGCCAGGCTCAATCTACCACTTTCGCAGAAGAGGCAGCTATCCTCATGAAGAACCGTCTGTTGAAGGATCCAGCAAAAACGGTTCCCAGATCAAGCCTGCTCTACCAGTGGTGTGCCTTTCTGGATGAAAATGATGTGCTGCGTGTCAAAGGTCGAACGAAGGCCTGTATATTTATCGATCGAGATGCAGCCGAACCGGTGATTCTTCCCCGGGATCATCCTGTTACTCGCCTCATCATCTCTGCAGTACACGATAGATTCAATCATCAAAACCACGAGACGGTGGTGAACGAGATACTGCAACGCTACCGTATTCCTCGCCTGAAAGCAGCGTACCATCAGATCCGGAAAGACTGTCAACAATGTAAAATCCTCCGCGCCAAGCCGCAGCCACCAGCAATGGCTGACCTTCCTCCAGCTCGCCTGGCCGCCTTCACTCGTCCCTTCACTCACACGGGAGTGGACTACTTCGGTCCGATGATGGTATCGGTTGGAAGACGTACCGAGAAACGGTGGGGGGTTCTCGCCACTTGCTTAACCACTCGCGCCATCCATCTGCAGATCGCTCACTCACTGACCACCGATTCCTGTGTAATGGCCATTCGGAACATCATGGCTAGAAGGGGTATACCTGCTGCGATCTATAGCGACCGTGGGACCAATTTCCGAGCTGCAAGTAAGGAGTTACAGAGTGCTACAGAAAAACTCGACCATGATGCGCTAGCGAAGGAGTTCACCTCCAGCCACACTGAGTGGTCTTTCAACCCTCCCGTCACGCCTCACATGGGTGGAGCATGGGAGCGTTTGATTCGGAGTGTCAAGCAGAACCTCGGACGAATGCAAACGAGCAGAATCCCGACTCCCGAAGTACTGGAGAACACGTTGGTGGAGATCGAGAATATTGTCAACTCCCGTCCTCTGACCAACGTACCAAGCGATGGTGACAATTTCCCGGTTTTGACGCCCAATCACTTTCTCTTGGGATCCACCAACGGCCTGAGATCGTGGGCTCCTCTGGACGATAGCCCTATCCTGCTTAGGAACAGCTGGAAGCAGCCGCAGGTGATAGTGGACGCGTTCTGGAAGCAGTGGGTTCAGGACTACCTGCCTACAATTACCCGTAGGACTAAGTGGTTCACACCGGTGAAGCCGATCACAGTTGGAGATCTGGTAATCATTGTGGATCCGAAGCTACCACGAAACTGCTGGCCAAAAGGCCGAGTGATTGCCACGTGTCCGGCTCCAGATGGTCAGGTAAGGTGGGCTACCGTGCAAACCGCATCGGGGGGTATCTACGAACGACCAGCGGTGTCTTTGGCTGTACTCGACGTAGGCGTTTGAGACGAATACGCTTTAGGAGGAGTCTTCGCGTATTCCGGGGGGAGTGTTGGTTACGCCCGCTCCAGATGTGTGTACTCCCACCGCTGATCTACGCCACTGACGAGTGAGTGCAACCACACCCATCGCTATACGAGGGATTGTCACGCGGTGAGAGGAAAAAGTGGTCAGGATGTAAACAAATCAAACTATGGAAAGAAGACAAAACAAAAGTGAAATTGCCCTGCCAATTGCGAAAATTAAAACTACTTATATATATACTTATTATATACACTAAATCTACTGCTTAAACCTAGTGAACTAAACCTAGTGAACTAAACCTAGTGAACTTGAGTGCTAAATATTAGTTGCAAATTATTGATTCTTAATCTAGAGGTGAGAATATGAAATAGTATGACAGGAAGATTCTTAACCTATTATGTGCTATTATTAAGGTATCGATGAACCACTAGAACTTCTACTTGCCTTCTGAATAAGTTATATGTGGCCCGGAAAAAGGTGAGGTAAAAAGAATTTAAACCTAAAACATGATCCTAAACACAAACATCTAACTAGGTACCTACGGCTAAACGATTACTTATAACTACCAGCAAATTCGGCTGCTCTGTTACCGTTGATAGGTGAGACTTTATATCTAGAGCCAAGGCACACATTAGTAAACTAAACTTAAACCTACAGATTTCCTAAACCTACGAGAGTTGTTGGATCTCTCAAGCGATTATATTGCCATACAGCGAGAATCACTAAATGTAAGCATTACATGAAAATTATCCTAAATTAGCCTAACTTAACTGAGTATTCCACAGGAATTTTATAACTTTCATTCGCTGAAATACATTGGTTGGTGAATAAAGTTTATAGAATTTGATTCATTTCGGCTGTTACCAACAATATTTTTTGTTGACCCAGCTGCCAAATTTGACAGCTTACGTCAAAACCATGAAAGCTCTTGTAAATTCGAAAAGATTTTCTTTTTGATTTAACAATCCATGGGTTTTTAAAAACAAAGATACTGGATTGTTGAAATAATAATGATTTCATGTTGCAGCCAAAACAAAATGAAATTCTTATTATTACGTATAAATATTTTTTTCTGCGTGCACAATGTTTGTTTTGATTCGCTATGAAAATTTGACAGATAAAATGAGGGGTTAGTGGATTTTCCTATGTTTCGAGGGGTGAATCGATTAGCTTGGGACCGAAGATAGTACCAGAGCTGAGCCAAAAAGTTGAGCTCGTTTCTTCGGGACCTTCTGGTCTTAGAGTTACCTCTATGGTAGTAGCCACAATGATGACGACGGCGCCGACAGGTGTGAAGACTTCCCAATTTTCAGCTGGAAACTGGGTAGCAGCGGGCAGCAGATGTTGTTCCTGATAGCGATGGCCACTTCACCGCCCCCAGAGCTTGTCCGATCCAGTCTCACGAGCCCGATTCCAGGAAGAAATGCGTTCATCTCCGTTTTTGGTGAGTTTCGGTGATGATGGCGATGCTATCCAGCTTTCCATGCTCGGTAATGGCGGCCTGTTTGTATGAATAAATGTATCCTTCACTGTGCTTTTTGACACTATCTGGATGTTCGAATTTCAACCCCTTCCCTTTCCCTCTCCCAGGAACAGAAGAAAATGGAACAACATACTCCCTCCAGTTAGTATCAAAAAGCGCAGTGAAGGATACATTTATTCATACAAACAGGCCGCCATTACCGAGCATGGAAAGCTGGATATGTTCCTTGAGGAAGTCAACGAACTCGATAATTTTGCTCTTGAGCGAACAAGCATTCCTGTTTGCGATTTTGATGAGCTCACTGTCCATAACTGAGCACGAAGATAGCCACAGCTTGGAGCTGGTCGGATTTGTTCTTGATGGTGTGATAGGGACGGTCCATCCTGACGCCAGTTTAACCCAGGGGATGTGGGGGGATCCAGTGGCTGTGAAGCAGCAGTCGCCTGTTGACCAGAGTTTGCAGGAGCTCCGACAGTTTGAACTTGAGCGGTGGCGGACGCCGCAGCAGTAGCAGCGGCACTAGCAGCAGCCAATCGTTGATTGAGTGGCAGCGGTGGCAGCACTGTAATCGGTCGTCGTGGAACCGGTGGGATGTTCTGGTCATTCATTTCCGGCACCTTCTCGTGGCCGGGCTGGTTTCTCGTCGATACTTTCTTCCGGAAGCCGGATGCCCTGGGGGTCCTTCAAACTTGTTGAAATCTTCTCAAGGTGGATCAGGTATAGCTGGTCGCGGTACTTGCCACCAGCTCTTCCAAGGGGACGCCTGTGTCCATGTCGTTTACTCCTCGCAGGACCAACTTGAGCGAGTTAACAGGCCCGGTGTCGTGGGAGAAGTACTCCACCTGTGCGTTGTCTAGCATGGTCTGAACCACTTTGTAATGGTTCAACGCCGGAACCATCAGTTTGAATCCCTTCCGTGCACAGCTGGATGGTGTACCGGATGCCCTTCGTGATGTAGAATTTTATTTTTTTCCCACAGCCCACGACGGAAGCCTTTCGCGTAGAAGGGTGGCATTCTGTGCTTCTTCGGCGGCCCTGTTGTTTCCGTCACCGGCTCTGAACCGTCCTTCAGAACGGAGAACCGATTGTTGTCAAACAGCTTATTCGCAGCTGTCGCACTGTCACTATTGTCTTCAGGCCTAGAATGTTTCCCGGGATTTTCAGCTTTCGCGAGATTTTTTACCCATGGCTGGGTCAGCGAGAGCGTCACTACTCAATTCGAGAATAAGCTAAATCTCGATAACTTTTTCAAAGGGACGTATCAGCTTTTGTAAACAATGCATTTGATCGTCGATTTGGCGTAACTGGTAGCTCGCCCACGCATGCTAACACTGAACACTACCATCTGATAGGGGAATATTTCCCCTACCTGATAGTGGTGTTAGTAAGCGTGTGCGAGCTACCAGTTACGCCAAATCGACGATCAAATGCATTGTTTACAAAAGCTGATACGTCCCTTTGAAAAAGTTATCGAGAAATAACGCAATCGAACGAACACAACGAGCGAGAGAAAAACGTCGACTTTACTGCTCAACAGAGAATCTAATCTGCGGCAGAGAATCTAACACTGCAAAACATGTCTGGTATCTCATTTAGATTAACATCCGAAGCCCCTCCTTGTTTGAATATTCTGCACAAACAATACTTTCTAGGCCCCGTCCCTAACAGGATTTACGCCATTTTTGTGAATGGAGGGAGAAGGCTTAGAAAATAATTGTTGAGGGACTTCGAATGTTAATCTAAATGCATTTATAAAGGTATCAGACATGTTTTGCAGTGTCAGGTACAATGGTAGCACTAGCCCCGTAACGTGGGTAGATCACCTTTTCGTGGTACGTTACGGGATGTAAGATCTACCACCGATTCCTAGTCCTGACTACTTCAAACTAAGGGAACAGGATTTTTCAGTAATCCAAGGAACACATCTTAGTCCTTGTTACTTTTTATGCCTTGTTGATAGTGACAAGACTCGGCTTTGTCTACCGAGGATGATCTTGAAACAAGGAAAAAAAATGAGTTAGTTGTCTTCATCTATGTGATTCCTAATCTTCTAATCATTGTTCCCTAGTTTGAAGTGGTTAAGACTAGGGTTCTGATGCATGGTCATTATCGGTATCATACCTTAATTTTGTTGCTAAGGAATCCAATTTTGACTGACAAAGGGGCGCGCCTTTGGAGGGTGTTTCAACATTCCGAAGGGTATAAATAGCGGGACCTTTCAATTAGAGTCGGATCCTTGCAATAAATGCAAGAGTGGCAACTGTAAAAAAATCGAATAATACTTCATCATTTCTCAATAGTGATGGAGTAATACGACATGCACTAAACTAAGGACACGGGATAAACTACAATAGATCAATTTACTGGTCGCAGTAGTGTTAGGTCCCGAACAGAGGAAAACAAAGGTAGCACGAGTACTGGTTTTGACGTAGGAATACGTCTTTTGGCAACATATTGGGGGTGAAACTAAAAAAAAAACCAAAATCGACCGCGTTACGAATAGTGGTCAGATTTGGACCACTTATAACTCTGTCAATAGCGGGTGGATTTTAATTCTAAGTAAGCCAATCGATTTGAAAGTTTTCTACAAAGTGCTAAAACGAATACTTTATCAATTTTCAATAGGTCACTACTGAAAATTACACAAATTTCCAACTATTGCAATGGTGATCAAAATTATCTCTGATTGCCTGCAAAAGTGGTTTCCCTAACACAGTCGCCAAATATTGATACCGAGCACGTTATCCTACGTCAAATCTCTTACTTTTTTTTTAATTGTTTCCCTAACATTTGATACTTTTTGTAATGACCATAGTGAAGACACACAAAAACAAACTGGCTAGCCGCAACATGGTGTCGACTACCTGGAAAACCTGGAAAATCAGGGAATATCAGGGAATTCATTTTTGGACCTGGAAAATCAGGGAATCTCAGGGAATTTAATTGAAATTTCTTAATCACAGAAGTTTGACAAACTTTGCTAGTTCAAACAAATTAATTACTCGGTGTAGTTTGAGGATAGTTGCGAGTTTGAGGCTGCTCAATGCTTGATGTGGTATTTCAATTGCGATGAAATTAAGCTACTGAATTTTAGAGGTGAAAGCCGTTGTTTTTACGATTTCCCACCATAGGAATCTGCTCGTGAATTAGCGTATTGCTAAGCGTATTGCAGCTGGGTCTCAAATTTTACTCAAGGGAGAACATTACAAAGGGATTAAAGACAAGTGTTTCATATGCAAGATGTAGGAGAACTGTGTAAATTTTTGCCCCTAGCGTTGATTGAAAAAGTTCACGATATTTCACGAAAAATTGATGGTGAATATTTTCAAAACTGCTTCTAAGGGTGAGAAAATCGCCATGCCAAGGACCTCTTCTCATATCATGAAGTTAATCGAGCAAATTTGCTGCAGGAAGCCTTGTTTGTAGATTGATATCGAGATGGTTGCTGGTTCCTCCACACATCACTATTAATCATGAATTGAATCTGGCGCTTACAATT